TCTGCCTTAAAAATAGGTATCCGAACATGTTATTTTGAGTTGAAAAGAATTTATTTCTAACGTTTTTTGAACTACTAGTTTTATCCAATTTCAAGTTTGTTTCAACTCCTTGCAAAGATTTTCATCCTTTTTAGGCTCCGTTTGTTACACATAATTCATACTATGAAATTAGAATTGGAGATAACAATTCCAATTCTATTGTTTGGTAGCACAAAAATATGTGAATTTGGAATTGGTAGTGTCAAAAATGAATTGGAATTAAAAAGTTTAATTCCATCCAAATCAATTTCATAGAATTTTAAATTCCAATTTAATTCTAATTCTATCAATTTTATGTACCAAACGGATCCTTCCTTAGTTCGTTTCTTCCAGCTCTTTCTTTTTTTCTTTAATATTAACTCTATAATTTCAAACTCAAAACGGCTTTGACCAATATCATACCTCATATTGGGCTATGCCTATTAATCTTGTCATCCTCAATAAATGCCCTTCTTTTGTGGGTTACATCTCATGCATTTTTTAGTGGAAAGAGCTCAAGATACAAATATTTTGTATCTTAAATGGTTTCTATAGTGCAACATCATCAAAGCAACTTTGTAAACAATTCACTCAATTTTACTTTAGTGGTAAATACAAGGAGCTCACAATTTATCATTACTATTTCATTAGAAATAATTTTTCAACACTATATTTTATTGGTTGTTATTAAAAAATATTTTTTAAAAAATCTTGGAAAAATTACCTAAAATAATCCCAACTTTACCCGGTCTTTCAAAAATAATCCCACCTTTCACTGTGATGCATAATAATCCCAACTTTACTTAAATTTGCCAGTTTTGGGTCGCCGTTAAGTTTCTAACGGAGAGTTAACGGAAATGCCCGTTTTAGGCAACAAAATGAAAGTTGGGATTATTTTTGATGAATTTTCTTTTTTTTTTTTATTTTTTTAAATTTTTCATTTAAAATTTTTAAACTACTTTCTACCTCCATTATCATTTCTTTTTCCTTTTTTAAAGATTAATCTTAGTTTAAAAAATAAAAATAATAGATATAAAAATGAAAAAATGAGAAATGTAACTAAAATGATACAAAAATAATAAAATAAATAAGGTAATCAATGGAAACTAACTTAAAATTGGTAAAAGTAAAATAAAAATATATGGGTGGGTTTTAATATTTTACGCATTATACAAAGTATTAACATATCACTTCTTATTTTTTAGAAAAAATTATCTACAATAATTCCAACTTTACCGGATGGCTTGTTCTTTTAAAAAATAAGTAGTACATTAAGACTCCGTATAGCGTGTAAAATGTTAAAACCCACCACTCCGTATATATTTATTTTATTTCTTACCAGTTTCTGTTTAATTTATATTGATTACATTATTTATTTGATTAATTTTGTATAGTTTTAGTTATTTTTCTCATTTTCATTATTTTTATATCTATTTTTTCTAAGGTAAGAATAATCTTTAAAAAAGAAAAAGAAATGGAGGTTGAAAGTAATTCAAAAAATTTAAATAAAAATTTCAAAAAAAAATTAAAAAACAAAAATTCATCAAAAATAATCTCAACTTTCATTTTGTTGCCTAAAACGGGCATTTCCGTTAACTCTCCATTAGAAACTTAACGGCGACCCAAAACTAGCAAATTTCAATAAAGTTGGGATTATTATGTATAATAGTAAAAGGTGGGATTATTTTTGAAAGATCGAATAAAGTTGGGATTATTTTGGATAATTTTTCCAAAAATCTTAAGTATGGTTGCTTACGGAAGCAATGGTGTTTATATGTAAGCAACTTTGTATGCTATTAGATTAGCCCTAATAAAAGTTTTTATAAAATGCAATTGCTTAAGCTAAACAATTCATCAAGCACTCACCCCACTAAAGATGCTTTTTTTTTCATCAATTCACATTTAGATCTACGCTCCCTCTGTCTATATCCCTAGATTCTAGATTCACTAATGCATACATACATACGTATGTATTGGTTTGGAAAAATAAACCTCAAACGAAACAAAACTCATTTTCTTCATAACCGAAGCCAAACAAAAGTAATTTTAGCTTTGGAGTTTATTGCACTGATACCCCTGTGGTTTAGTAAATATATATTGTTATTCTTCATAGCTTTAAAATTTACGTTATTGCCCATCATAGTTGTTGGTGATTTTAATGTCATCAGTTTATTTTGTGTGATTGGATTTACTTAGATCAGACAAGAATTTAAATAGACGTTGTCAAACGAGTTAGGAGGCGCGGAGTGCACGCTCGTTCAACGATATTATAAATTCACAGCGGGGGTCCAGGGCGGCAGCCCCCGGGAAGCGGTGTCCAAGGGGCAGAGCCCCTGGCCGGGGTCGAAAATAGTTGTTCCTCTATAAAAATCCGTAAGATTTTCGTGATCGGAGTTCAAAACACTAAAGGACTCGAACTAGTGGATAACGTCGAAATGGACTCTAAAACCGCAGGAGACTCTTCATTCAAACCCTTCTTCCTTATCACGCGTTTCTTCCATTCCTCTCTGCGTGAATGTACGCATCTACGCGAACGTTCATGTCCGGTCATGAATTTTTGACTCTATAAAATAGAGTCTCTTGGTATGGATTGAGTGACGGATTTCGAGTGCTTGTTGTTGATTAACGTCTTATCCGATTGAAGTATTTCATATACCCCAAAATAACTTTGATCTGAAAGCGTTTATACGCAATTTGTTATACTATCGAGTTCTTCATCAACATAGCTCCATAGTATTCTTCCTACGAATATTCCTACAATAGTTCTGATATTGTTACGCATATGCCCCTCCGGACAAAAATATCTTTTAAATAATAGTGAACAACTCTGTTGCCCCATATGATTTTGGAGATGGGCGCCAACGCACACAACGCCCCCTCACCTTCTTCTTTATTGTTTTTCTTTGTTCTTTTCTTTTTTCATAAAGAGAAGAAAAATATGTGTTTGAAATAATGAAAAAATATTTTTCAAAACTATATATTTTTAAAGAATTTTAAAAAATAAAAAATGTTTTTGTTTGAAATAAAAAGATTACAAATACTTTATTTATCAAATTAAATATTTTCATTTTTTGTGGAAAATAGTTTTTAGTTTTTGAATGTCAGGACCAAAAGTATACTGAATAAGGTCTTTTAAATATATACGGAGTAGTTAGTTATATATATTAACAACATTTATACCGATGCGCGATAGATTTCCTTCATGACTTAATTTTTCCTATTATACATAAATATTTTTTCCTATACTTTTTTTTCTTTATTTTCTTTTCTATTCTTTTTTATTTTATTTTAATTTTTATGAAAATAAAAAACGGTATAAAATTAATGAATAGAAAATGAGAAATGAGTTTTAGTGTAAAAAGGCATTGTTTCATTGATTTTTGTATAATTAAAATGAAGCAAAAAACCTCTTTTAGACAAAAAATGAATATATTTAATTTGAGACAAATAAAGTGCACGTTAACTCTTTTTATTTAATTACTTTTACTAGAAAACATAAAAAAATGTTCATCATTAAAATATTATAAAAAATAACTTTAAAAAAGAAATTAAAAAATATTTGAAAAAATAGTGGAAAGATAATAAATAAAAATAGAGAGCGATTGAAGCCTATTTCTAAAATTATAGGAGGCAATGAAGCAGAACTATTCACTCAATATCTAAAGGATATTTTAGTGTAGAGGGTTTCATCGTAGCAATATTAGAACCACAAAGGATAATGGCGTACCTTTTAAAATCATATGAGGTCACAGCACACATTTATCAAATGAAAGGAAATATTTGTGCAATAAACCTGACTTTGTATGATTTCATTTCTTACAAACCAAAACCATCAAAATGGAAACCGATATGCCTAATTTATACAAAAATGCTAGGGTACACCAAATCTTGTACCCCATTTGTACTCCCCTCCATCTCCACCACACAAAAACAAGAGAAGAAAAAAAAATTAAAAATATAAAAGAAAATCAATGGCTAGGATTTTTGGTATACAAATGGGGTACACCATTTGGTGTACCCCTAGTGTTCCTCTAATTTATATTGCACCACGAATCAAGTTCATTTCAAGTTCCTTGAAAGGGCCAACACTTTCACTAATTTTGGTCCAAATCCCTCGGGCTTGCCATTACACATTTATAATTAACATTTGGCGATGCCTTAATTACAGATCAGAAATTTGGCTTCAATTACAGATTTATATGTTTTTCAGTTTTTTCACTAATTTCAAAACACTTCCACTTTTGCTAAAAAAAAGGCTAATATATCCAAATAAATCAATCCAATATAGCCTATCCATTTTGCCGTGATATAATAAGTTATTTAAATAATTTGTCTCTCCTTTGTTCGACGCTAATGATATAATTAAAAAGTCAAATTACGTAGAATAAATCCGAAAAAAATCAAAACAAAAACTGTTTTTGCAAAAGAAGGGAATATTTTTTATTGCCTTACCATTTGGCAGTGCCCTATGTTGACTTATAGAAGCTCATGTTTTTAAAAATATCGATCGTTATAAGTGTTGATTTACAAATGCTCAACCATAGTAAATTTTTTTAGTACTTCCCTCCTTTTTTAAAAACAATTCTCCTTTCATTTTTTTTATTTTTCCTAAAACACTCCTATTTTTTTTATTAAAACCCCACTTTAATCCTTCTTTTTTTAACCCTACCTATCACATTATACTTTTCTCTAATAATCTATCTATCACATCTTACTTTGACTCATCATATCAAAAGCAAAATTAGAAAGTCAATCACAATTATACACTATATTTCTCCTAAAAAACAAAATGAGAACCGTTTTATAAAACGGAAGGAGTACATATTTGTTAGCTTAACTAAAACATATTTAACTTTTCATGGCATTATTCTTTTTTATTAAAAAAACATTCAATATAATGACGAAGAACAAATATTTTGAAATGTCACTCTTCTAAGGGACAAAAAAACATTGAGAAAGAGAACTCCTTTCATGAGACAAAGGGGGTATTATGTACTATACCATGAACAACCCCTGCGAATGACGTTTCAGTTCATGCTCAAAGCTATCAATCGTGAATCCAACTTACGACTCTCCCAACTCAAATCAAGTTTAATTGAAACTAGTAACAGAAAATTTGACTCCATCGTTGAAATGTTTGGTAACATATTTAGACATTTGAAAGGAAAGAATCCATTCAAGGTTTCATTTAGCAGGGGAGAAATAGCGAGTAATGTCCGAACCTTTTTTGGAAACATTTGCTTGTTTCTGAGGCCTAAGCCAAGCACGCACCTCGTCTTGAATCTCCTGCGGTAACTCATTCACAACAGATGGGTCTATATCATTTATGTTGTAATAAAAACTTGTAGCGTGTTTCTGGTGGGTTTGACCAGTTGCATTCACACTGCTGCTACCTGAAATGACAGAAATATGAGTAGGGGAAAAATAGAAAGGGAGATCATGGGGATTTCTTGTGATTAGCAAGAGTATTACCTTGGGTTGATGACCCACATTCCGTGAAAGGACTGCTTCCACGCCTCACCTCTAGAAGTGAGGAGGAGGCTTCACCATGGAAGTATGCTAAGATGGATGTTACCTAAGGCAAGCAATGACAAAAATAACACCAACTACTCAGTAAGATTCTTGCAAGTGGGGTCCGGGGAGGATGGATGAACACAACACACAAACCTTACCCCAACCTTTTTTCTTTAAAATTTCATTCTCCCACATTCATTCAAGAGAGTAGTACACCGATAAACATAGAATCAAAAGCCGTAGTTATTGATTCACTAATTTTTTCAATTGCACGTGAACTTTGATAAGAGTTTTACAATTTCAACATGAACAAACACGGAAAAAATTAGTCATCAAAGACCTAAATCTGAACTCGTAGATAGATGAGAAAAATACACATGTATAAAGTCAAGTGAATAAATCAAAAGACATTTATAACCATAAATAACTGGGTAGATGATCAACATGGATCTTTTCAGAATATAAAACCTTTTTTGGGCATGCACAAGAAGCTTGAGCTTCTGGTTGAGTTGGTTCTTTGACATAGTATCAAGGTCTTGTTGACCAAGAAGTCATGACTCAGGAGTTTGAATCTCACTGCCACCCGATTTTAAATTGAGGTTTAACATGCAAGGCTCGGAGCGGCCATGCCCCTGGCGTGTTAGAATATAAAAACCTTTCCTGGGCCTACAACTAGAAGCCTGAGCTTTTGGTTGACTTGGTTTCTTGACACATCTAATGGAGCAAAACCAGAGAAAAGATGAGCTATCTGAGCCTAAATCTTGCCTATGAACAGCAACAAACAAAACTTGGCTGAACGAAGAAAACTTGGATATGGAAGACAAGGGAGATCTGTTTCTCTCCGAAAGTGTTTCGCGTACAATGGAGAGTGGGAATTTATTCTAAAGTGAGTCAGAAGAGTATAGAGGCTGTTAAAGAAAGATCCTTGACTCAATAAATCAGGAGAAGAAAAAATACTTTTGAAACTCATCAATGTTCTTTGGTCAACTCTAATAGTGTTTGAAATTTCAATAGCAGGCAACTTATCTATGTAGCGATATGTCTACGTAAAAAAGAAAACCAATCCTTGATATATGTTAACATTCAGCTATGCAATCACTGCACCATAATGTTAATGCAAGAGTTCTTTTGTTTTTGAAACTCTTTTCTTTCCCTTTATTTGTTGATATGTTCTAACCAGGCTCGTGTTTTGAGCTAAGGAGTCATTTGGAAACAGTATTTCCACTTTCTAGGTAGGGATAAGTACTGCATACATCCACCCCACCCGAGACCCTACTTTGTTGGATTTTACTGAGTTTGTTGTTGTGTGTAACGTTAATGCATGCAGCATGTATATCAACATCAGTCACTTCTGCTGAGAAAAGATAACAATGGAGGAACCGACAAAAGATAGCACAATGCCAAGGCAGCCAAAAAAATATTGAAATTGAATTTGTAAACCTTGTTTTTTGAAGACTTTGTGTCCTGCTCTATTGATGTCAAACTGCTTGTTATTTGTTCTAATCCAGGGTCAAGCATTGACATGGCTTGATTTGATGCCACTTTTGAAGGAGTTCCAGCCTCTAAAATAGAAGTGTACAAAATAATAAAAATCTACATAAGGAAAAATTATGAACAAAATCGTCTAATTGGATAGAGCAAACATAATGTGAAAAAATTACCTGAAATTGGCAGTGCAAACGTTTCTTCCCTGAACCCATCTTCTAGGGGATAGGATGAAGAGAGAACACCCTGTGCAAGGCAAATCTAAGTCATTTGTGTTCTCTAGAGCTTCATGCTATCCAACAAAACAAAAGATACCTAGTATGCCCCATTAGTAGAGTTTGGGAGGGTAGGAGTATTGAGATTGTTTCTTGAAGAAGCCAGGCTAATGGGAATTTTGGAAACACCATACCTTTATATAGAGTATTCCTAAATAGAGGCTTCACTGTACATACATACTGTGGGTGTGAGAGAAAATGAGAGATAGGTAACTGGTAATGTAAACTATATATATATAACCAATGCAATTATGTCTTAGTAACACTCTGTCAACCACCGGTCTTCCCTCTTACAAAAGAAAAGGAAACAAACAGGAAGAAAACTGAAAAGGTAAACGTGGTTTCTGTTATCTCTATTAAGAGAAGACAAAAAGTAAAGATGCTTTAAGTTTTATGTTTTTCAAAAAATAAAAATCTTTTCCAATTAGTAAACAAGCCATAAGTTCTTCTTTAGGTTCCCATTAATTTTTTACTTTCCAGAATATCTATAATTGTAAGTTGAGAATACATTAGTACAACAACAAACCCAATAAAATGCCATAAGAGTAGGGTTTGTGGAGGGTGTGTGTAGGCAGACCTTACCACTACTTGGAAGGGATTAGCTGAGAGTGATATCAGCAAAAAAAAAAAGTTCTCTTTAATGCACTATATGAAAGTGCATAAAAAAGGAAAACTATAATGGAGTGTGTTTAGTTCCTTTGCTTATAACCTATTCTATCAAGTATACACTAAAGAATCTTTTATTTACCTTTTGACAAGTCATAGTTGAAAGCATGTACTTTGGAGATAAATAATCATATAAATAGGACATCAGCTAACCTTAATTGTAAATGGTTCTCCACCGTCTTCATGCATTTCCAAAGCTGGTGTTGCACACTCAGTCCCTTGACCTTGACAGCGATCAATCTCAGGCTCTGTAGAATGCAGAATAGTTATAACTTCCTTGTTAACTTTCCATATATTGATTGTGAAAGACAGGTTCAATAGCTTTGACAAGGTCACAAGGAACCAACTCCAAGAAAAGTTCAAGCTTGCGATTGGAAAAGTTTTATACTCTAACAAGCTCTGAGAAAAAGAGCAAACAATAAAACATAAAAAGAAAGATGAAGCTAGCTAGTGGGAGCAGAGAGAACCTATGAGAGACAAAATCACTGCATCTTGGGTAGAACTTCGACTTAATTGCTTAGTTGAAGAGCATGCTTGGGACTGGCTCTGAAAATAATTCAGGATTGAAGGCGTACCCTGTCAATTGCCGAAACAATTATTGAATCATTTCTAAAATGAACAGAAACTCTATGTTATGCATGCGCATTAATAGGATTTCCAATTTTGAGATCAATTGAGTATTTCAATGATTGGCTAGTACGATCATCTCTGTTTGCATAGGCACCATTTATTTAGGTATTCGTTTTGATAAAAGTTCCCTTGAAGTAGGGGTAAGATCTGCGTATGCCAACCTGCCCCAGACCTCATTGTTGTAGTGACTTAGTGAGTCGTCATTGTTGTCATACAAACGATCATCTCTGTTTGCATAGGCACCATTTATTTAGGTATTCGTTTTGATAAAAGTTCCCTTGAAGTAGGGGTAAGATCTGCGTATGCCAACCTGCCCTAGACCTCATTGTTGTAGTGACTTAGTGAGTCGTCATTGTTGTCATACAAAGTCAAAGAGATCACTTTTACTAATTCTAATTCATGAAAAGCCCAGAAAATATGTCTTGACTTCACAGTGACAACACCTCCATCGTCTGTTGGTGACTTGGTGCACGACTTCACGTGTAGACATTATTTGAAGCATTCAGCTGTGATTTTTCCTAATTAAAGCATTCTTGCACGATGGTACCCCTTTTATATAAAAGGGAGTTCACATTAAGAATTAAGGCGAGAAGGAATCAGTACAAAGTTCAAACCATCAGATTCAGTTTTAAACTATAACTCAACGATATTCTAACAGTCTGCTAACTCCATGTTACTCAAATAAATAAGCAAAAGCAGGGAAAGAAAACCTCTAATAATCAAGATCGAAGGATGCAAAAAGAGCAATGTGAAATATAAAAAAAGGTTTAACTCACCGACGGTATACAGATAATTTTACTAGCAGATACAGAAAGGCTTGTCACTCCCCAAACATCGTGTTGCTTTGTTGGTGTCATAACATTAAAATTGCCAAGAAATTCACGGAGCCCTGCTTGAAATAGGATCATGGCATCTTCTTGGATCTTGGCAGTCCCATATCTTAATGGGCATGACTTAGAAGGAAATTTCTTGAATGAATCTGTATCATGTGTCTAGAAAATTGCAAATACACAGAATCAATTTATTTTGTAATCCAATTAATAATAATAATAACAATAACAACAAGTATACATAAATTGAATGACACGTGTGAAGTAGTCAAGTCAAGGCTATTTGAACAACCAACCTTGTATGCACAAACATGTAGACTCAATGTACACGCTATGCGCTTATTCTGCTCCAAGTCACACTGAAGGCGTTCATTAAGTTCGTCGCAAAGCTCATTAAGCCATTTCTCTACCTAAATATAAACAGAAGCATCAAAGTAACCAAAAGAACATTAAAAAGTACACCAAAACTAAATGTCTTATAAACCCTATTCAGTGTTCTCTTGATTGATTTGCTATATTTGTCTGGGTATTGATGCTTTAAATTGAAACTACTAATCTACTATAAAACAAATACATATTTTTCCATGAATCCAAACATAAAATTCAATGGTCAAGCCGAATTTTAATTACACTTGGGAAACAAAACAAGCAACATTGGTGAATTGTGAAAAAACTTTTATGCTATGGTCATAAATAAAACATTCCAAACAAAAATATCCTTCAATGTTGGTTGAGGACTACAAGATATAAATACTCCCTCTGTCCAAACATTTTCTTCCCGTTCACTATTCATAGGGTCAAACTTTATCATGGCCTATTTTCGTTGCCCATTTGATAAAATAATATAGTCATGTCACATATAGTTTTGTAGCTCTTTTGATGTAGTTTTTAAATATAGTCATGTCACCTCTAGTTTTGTAGATCTTTTGATGTAGTTCTTGTTTTTTAATTCCACACCATTTTTCATTTAAAATAATTTGAAAATCATTTCAGTCAAACAACATAACGCGCAACGGGAAGATAATTTTTGGACGGAGGAAGTAACAAACATGAGGGAAACAAAAGACAAGTTTTCAATAAGGCACGTGTTGATTTTACAGAAGCAGTTGATTTAAGAGCTCGAAGTCCAGGAAATGTCTTTCCAGAGCCATGACTTTTGGGGAGAAGTCGATCCTGAACCTCTTCTGTATTAATCCCTCTTGCAGTATTCCATAACCAGGTACTGCAATGATTACAGGGAAAAAGTAAAAAGAGATAAAGAAGGGAAGGAAAAAAGAGGATATACTGGTGAGAGAACATGTTGCAACTAAGAACTCAGTTTCATGTAATGCAGACTCTGATTTGCATTTAAATTGTGTTCTGCAGTAACTATACAGAGTGAATTATATTCATAGTGTTGCATTCTGCAGAAGTAATCCTAGTGATTTCAGCAGAATAGGAGTGTATGCTTCATCTACTCAATTGCCTGAGAGCTTGAGCAAAATGTGTCAAATGAAGAGGAACACAGAATCCAAAAATAATCTATCACCTTTGCTAACATTCCTTTTTTGTCCAGTCCAAAAAAACTTACCCAATTTCCACATGGAAAATTTTTCTTAGGTATATATTATTTCTCTTCTAAGAAACCATTTTGGCAAAGCAAAACTTGTGGAATATGAGCAGTTGCAAATTCTTTAGTCTAGCAAAAAAGGGATTGGATGAAAAGCAACCTTGTGGAATATGAGCAGTTGCAGTCTTATAATATTTTGTGCAGATATGATTGTTATTTTTAATTAGCTGGATCTTAGAGAAGCAAAAGCATTAGAACAAAAGTCTAGTCGCTAAGATATTGGGAAGAACAGTGATTGTTTGCTTAAGATGCCATGATATATTTATAATGCATATTCTCAACTAAAGTTGGTTATAGATTATGACCCAGTATTTGTGCCAAAGTGCTCCTGTAACTTCTCTTTTGAGAATAGCAACAGATCCCCAACGGTATTCATCCCCAGGTCTGTCTGCAATGAAGTCCCAAGCTTTCCACCAAGTTGTTTCCTGCACTACATTGCAGCTGAAAGCATGACAAACTGAAGAGTGAAACATATTATTGTTGAATAAATAACAGATCATAAAAGGTCTCTCAGCCCGTGTTTAGAAATACTGGTTTAGCACATAATTCTGGGCGCCTTGGTTTCCTACAGTTTTCTATATACGTATGGCATTGTAATCTCATTTGGATGATTGATGCAAGGGTTCAAGGAATACAAGTATTTTCATACTCTCAACACTGATAAATACTCTAGAATTGATAGGGCAGTAATTAATATTGAATGGATTGCCCAATCTAGGGCAAAACTTATTATCAAAGAGGAAGGGATGTCTGATCATACACCTCTATTAATAAAACTATGGAAGCAGGATAAGGGAGGGCACAGGTTCAGATTTTGTGATATGTGGACCATGGACCCTAACTTCTCTAACCTAGTTAAGGAGAATTGGGAAAAATGTGTTCAAGGGAGAAGCATGTACCAATTGGTGAAGAAGCTGAAGATACTTAAAACACAATTCAAAAGCTTGAATAGAGAGAAATTTGGAAATATAATCCAAAGATGTGACATAGTCAGGAATGAACTCTATGCTGTGCAACATGAGATTAAGGGGGATATCAACAATGAACTGCTGATCAATAAAGAAAAACAATTGATACAACAACTCAATTGGAACCTGAGAGCA